GAGCTTGAGAGACATTTTTTTCTGGTAGGTGTGGCAGTTTCAGCATCTAAAAAAATGGAAGAAATGAAAAATTCTCTTTATTACCCATTTATCAATATTAAAATAAGGAATATTGCTCGGAATATTGTTATCTATGGAGTGAAATCACACAATATGATTTTTTTGAAAAATGTACTAATACGTACCGGGCTATTGTCTATATTTTGCACCCACATCTATCTCACCTGTTTCAAGAGATACCCAGAAATGTCAAATGTGAAAGTTGTAAGTAATATCAGAAAGTTTTCAATGATGTTAGTTACAAGTATACAGGGTGTGCCACAAAAGTGCGGCGAAGCAAAGTTATATTTTTTTAAATGAAAACCCTGTATATTATTGTCCCATTGGATTAGGCTTTCAAACCTGATTCCAAATATACTAGGTTTTTTAAGTCTATTCCTCATAGTCCAGCCTCTGAGTATCCCATTTTGAAGAAATAATAATAATATGGATTTTTACATGAATGATTACCTTATATTTTACTGGTGGTCTCTATAGACCTTTTTCAATAAAAAAATGCAATTATTCCACCCCTTCTTGTCCAATTTTCTGCTGGACTATACGGAATAAACCTAAAAAACCAAGTATGTACCTATATTTGGAATCAGGTTCAAAAGGCTGATCCAACGATACAATATTATATGGGGTTTTCCATTAAAAAAAATATAACTCTGCTTAGCCACACTTGTGTGAAACACCCTGTATACTTGTAATTAACATCATTGGAAAATTTCTGATATTACCTAGAACTTTCACATTTGACATTTCTGGGTATCTCTTCAAACAGATGAGATAGGTCTGGGTGCAAAATATAGACAATCACCGGGTACTACCCCCTATAGAACACAACCACAATTACTTCACACATTTTTAAAAGCTACTTAAGGTACCTTTTATTTCTGGCTTTCTTCTCAATGCTGGTGTAATGGGTTCAGTCAAATTTTTGGGTTTATAGTTTTTCCAACTAGTACTTGGTATATTCTACGAGCAAAAAATAGAAGTAAATAGGTAGGTTTATTCCATGATTAATCTAGTTCGTGTACAAGGTAATCTTTGAAAAACTTAAACGTCTCTCAAAGATCACTTGGACATACTCACATACATTGATGTTATTCTCTGGATTTGTAATATTTGAAGAAATTATTTCATTTTCATCTGCTACTTGTACATTATTATCACTGATTTCTCGATTGATTTGCATATCATATTGGATCTCTTGATCCATGTACTCCAATTCAATGACGGTATCAGTACCTAGTAGTTTCACCTGCACCTGTGATTTGGTTCCGAGTTTGGTTTCCTGAACATTTCTTTGGACGTATTCCATCCCCATCTAATCCTCCATTATCTAATCCAAACACTGATTTGGTGTTCATGATAGATAACACCACATCATGACAAGGATCCTTTTTGATTATTTTAGGAATGCCACCTCCAGTAAGAAATATTTCTTTTTTCTCTTCAGCTGCTATTTTTCTAACCTCTTTTTTTTATTTTCAAATCTTTTTGTTTTCAATTACATGTTTATAATCGGCACATATATTCGCAATTAATATTTGTTCTTCGTTTGTGAAGTTGGATGACCTAGCCCTAATTTTCTTTTTTTGTTCTTGATCCATGATTCCTGTTTTTCCCAAGGAAAATTAAAAAATCTATATACGAACACGACAAAACAGATTGCAGACGGAAACAAAAACAAAGCTCCGGCGCCAGTTCAAATGCACACCTTAACCTCAAATTCTTAAAAAAATGTAGAACGTGAAGTTCGCTGCAGATAATTTTACAACGTTGCCAAAAGGTATTTTTTTAAAATCTCGGCTTACTTAACTGAGTGAAAATATTTGATGGTACAAATCAATCAAAATTTAATCCTAGTTTGAATTTAAACACAGATTAGTTAAACGCGGTTTTATTTTATAACGGTGCAAACGGCCATAATGGGTAGTTGCACCAACACTTTTTAATCTTCGTTTAACAGTAAACTTGGTTCAAACCAAAGAAATCCATTGCACCGTTTTTTAAAGAAAGTTTAATTTGATTTGAACTTGGTTTAACTTAAACGGTCATCTTTGATGGTTTAGGAGAAGTTTTTTACTATTGAACGCACAGAAGGGAAATTCGTAGTGTAATGACATGCCGACTGTTGTTGTTTACGGTTATTTTCATGTTGTAAGGTTAAGTATAGTGCTAAATAAAATAAATAAAACAAATTTCTGCTAATAAATAATTATTAGGAGAATTATTATTAAAATGAACATTGATTACGAAGACATTTTTGACGACGACTTAGAAATCCTTGAAATAATCCAAAATGGGATTCCAAGGAGAGTCATCCAGCGCAAGAATCATTTCGATGAAATGAGCCCCTATACATTCTTCCGCAAATTTCGTCTTTATAAAGACACTGCATTGCGTGTTTTGGAACAAATAGAGCCGGAACTTGAATATCCCAATAATATGTAAGTAGAAGCTAAACAAAATACTTGAGAATATATGTGTAAGTAAGTATACTTTGCTTAAGCAAAAGCTAGGATCTTACTACTTAAGCAAGAGTAAACCTAATGAAATATCAATTTTATTCAGGTATGCTGATATATATTCTAGGAACAATAGTGTATCTCCTATCAACCAGTTGTTGATTACATTGAGATATTATGCTACTGGGGGCCATCTAAACTTTTTAGCTGATTTTGGAGGTATGGATACTTCTACAGTATCAAGAATAATTGTCCGAGTATCAGAAGCAATTGCAAGGCTTTACCCTCAATATATTAATATGCCCCAACCACAAAATATTATAGATGAGCAAATTAAGTTCCATGACATTGCTCGATTTCCAAGAGTTCTTGGAGTTGTCGATGGAACACATATTAAGATACAAAATCCAGGTATGCGTACTGTTGATGAGAAAACTCAATAATTTTCTATCAAGAGACTAGCTAATTTTAAGTAAACAGAAAATTTAAAGCCTTATCATTTCTTGAGAACACCCTGTTTTATTTGAGATTGATTTTACTATGAATGTTTGTACACTTGCATAAGGTCATTCGAACAAAAATTGTAGGCGTAAAGATTTGTAAAACGCAAATATTTACTTTGAATGTTCTGTCTAAAAAAAAAAACATCACCTAGGTACTTAGCAGTCTCAAATATTTTAGAAAATAGCGAATTTGTTATGATCTACTATTTTTTAAGATATTTGAATCTATCTTTTGTTCAAATTAAAAAATAGAGCGTGATTGATTATTGTTTTATATCCGTTGACTTTTGGCTTTAAACAGGATAGATCATAGAACTAGGAAAAAACATTAATTACCTTCGCAATATTTTTGCTTTATTAGGTGGAGATGATGGGGAAGTATTTAGAAACCGCAAGGATTATTTTTCTATCAATACTCAAGTAGTATGTGATGCTGATATGAAATTTGTGGATGTTGTAGCAAGATGGCCTGGATCTGCACATGATGCTACAGTCTTTATGAATAGTAGAATATGTGCACAATTCGAAAACAGACAATATCGAAATGGTTTGCTTCTGGGTTAGTATGAATATTTTTAATACCTACTATTACTTTCAAAAGCTTCTGTCACCAATGCTTAGTTATAAAAATAATTAACAGAAAGGATTCTTACATGTTGTATGATAATAAAATAGAGCTCAGTTACTCAATTCTGAAATTTTAGGAGACAGTGGCTATCCGTTACTACCATTTTTGTTGACCACCCCTCGAAAATCCAGTTACAGACCCTCAACAATTATACAATGAATCTTTCATCAGAACCAGAAACATAATTGAAAGAACAATCGGAGTGTGGAAAAGTCGATTTCCATGCTTAGCATACGGCATGCGCATAAAAACACAAACTGCTTTGACTGTAATAATAGCCACTAGTGTTCTACATAATATCGCTAGGGCGATGAACGAACCAGAACCCCCTGTATTGAATGCAGAAAGACTGAATTATTTTATCGACATTGGTCAAATGGAATATCGAGAAAGTCATTTAAATATTCCAGCAGCAGCACACCTGATTCAAAATGATATTGTTAATAACTACTTTGGAGGCATTTATAGTTATTTATGTATCAAGGGTACTAAGTAGATGATTATGCCCTGAGGGCGACAGTCTTACAAAGCCGAGGGCCTCTGGCCCGAGGGTTCGTAAGTCGCCCGAGGGTATATTATCTATTAGTACCCGTGGTGCATACAAACTTTTATGTCATACCAGTTGGTTGTGAATAATAAATACCTAGGAAAAAAGTGTCACTTCGCAAATTGTCATCAGTGTGCAAACATCATAATTTTTTGACAAAAATAATATGTTTATAAGCGTAAATTTATATTTTGTTAATAAAGAATAAGTTAATTGAAAACTGTTTTTTGCGTCTTTATGCCCGCGCGGGCCATAATGTGTACTTTATGCCCGCGCGGGCCATAATGTGTACTTTATGCCCGCACGGGCATAAAGTAATGAATTATGTAGATGGTATCCAAGGTATAAAAACACAATAATGTATTGGTATGACATAAAAATAATAAGAAAATAAAATTAACTTCATATTTTTGATCCAGTTTTTTATTTGGTAAATTCTGAATATACACAAAAAAATATCTGGCAAAATTTATAAATACAGTCTTATAACACATTGGTACAAATCGAGGTACAAAAACATAGAAACTAGGATCAGGGTTTTCCCATATAAATGTTCACCCACCCCATGTGATAATATAGATTGTGTTCCATTCAAGGAAGTTAACAAGCTGCCAAAATTTTATACTAACAATAAAAATGAATTTTTAATTAAAAATTGTCATGATTCAGAAGTAAACAACTTTGACAACTTTTGATAACTTTTACTTTTAAAATAGCCCTGTTCTAGGTGGGTGAACATGTATAGGAGAAAACCCTGTAGCTACCTAATTAAGGGATTTTGGTTCAGACAAACACTGATGAAACTTCTATTTCAGTTGCTTTTCCCTTTGGATTTGGAGAGTTAGAAGCTCCACTCTGAGCTCATGTTCTTTCAACTCTGCTTTTATTTGGTTTTGCAACACTTGTTTTTGATAGTTTGCAATTTCTAGTCTCTCGCTTACTAATTTATCATATTTTTCTGATAAATCAGAGGCTGCCAATGTTTTCACAAATGTTCTAGGCCTTCGCCTGGATGTTGTGTTGCTGGGTGTTGCCTAAAAATGAAAGGAAAAAATTATTTCAACGTGAGATAGCAAGACAGACTGTACAAGGTAACAATTTCAAAATTGGTAGAATGTATGGCATCTCTAAAATAAAAAACATAAATACCAATAGTGTGTCAGGAGTATAAGCGAGAATGAAACAGGTTTGAGGGTTCAAGTATTTTACTTGTTTGACATACCACTTGTTTGTAAAAACTTTAAGCATTATATTATATACTTACTAGGATTGACTCTGGATTGAGTGCACTGTCTGTGGCTGATTTCAAATCTTGAACTGTGTAGCGTTTCCAGTTCTTTGATTGATTTTGTTTTAATTTTTGTGTTTCACTTTCCATTGACGTCGTTGCTTTTCTCTAAAAAAAATATTCTCTATGATTACATTATCTAATATTTTGCTAGCTTGTAGCTGTAATGGTAGTACCGAACACTGACAAGGTCTTTTAAAATTATGATGAGAATATAATTATTATCCTGTACTTAACAAACAAAATGAGGCCATTTTTTTGACCAATATGATGTGATCCAAAAACTACATACCTTTTTTTCTTCTGGTTTTCCTTGTGAGGCTTTCTTTTCCTCAATGGTATCCTCAAACTCAAAAATACTATCTTCATGATCATTCTCAAAGATGAATTCAATAGCATTGTCTTCTAAGATTACGTCCTGTGACTCTTGGGAAGTTGTTGGGTTTGAAGAATTGATGTTTATAATTGCATCTCCACCAAAAGGGGTCTCAAGGCCTTGTACACTTTTATTGGAAACAATAGACATAAGGAAATCATCAAGTGGTTCCTTTTTTGCTTGGTTGTCTGGCAGGCCACCTCCAGTTTTATAAATTTCCCGTCTTTCAGCAGCTACTGATTTTCTCAACAGTTTTTTCCTGTTTTCATAACATCATTTTAAGCATTCCACAGCTCTTGGGCAAGAGGGCCCCGCACTGTTATACTCCTGTGCTATTTTTTTCCACATAGGTATCTTGTTTTTCACTGCTTGTAACCGCATCAGTTTTTTTATTTTCTATTATAGTTTTATATTTTGCAACAATATTAATTAAAAGGGCTTTATCGTTGTTTGTAAAATTAGCTGATCTCTTTTTTATTTGTGAATGCGATGTTAGTGGATCCATTTTCTTGAATCAAGCAATGCAATTAGCACAAAAAAACTTTCAAATATAGGGGGTCACTGCTTCGATTAATTAGATTTGGAAGAACTAACTCAGCAGCAGAGAAAATAAAATAACAAATAATTCACTTTTTAGTTTTTAGGATTTGGATTTTAGGTTATATTTTCTTTGACATTTGACAAATTTTGAACATATTCGCCAACCCAAACGAAAAAAATCCTAGAAATTACTAGTTTAATCAAACCGAGCTTAGTTCTGTGCCGTGCAACGTAAGGTCAAGTAACCGGGGTTTATTTTTGAATCTCAGTTTTATTAAACTTGGATTAACAGAATCTTGGTGCAACTAGCCATTAGTTACACAAGTTTCATTAATTAAGTTCGTTCATATCGAACGTGTATCATTCAAAATTTAATCTACGATGGTCCAAATAGATTTGATTTGCCTTGAAATAGCAAATACTTTTCAAATTAAAATTCAAAATTTAGCAGGTGCCCGGTACTAGTCGGGAACCTGCTTGTTGATTTTTAATATTTTAACTTTGGCAGCTTCAATATTGGAGTCAATTTTTGTGCCATAAACTCAGTTTTATAGTGGAAAATAATGTTAATATTGGTGATTCTGAGTTCGAAAGTGTCCCTTCCAATATCCAAACAGCATCAGTGAAAAGTGTGCAAAACCACATAATGGAAGATAAATAACTTGATAATTAGTGGACTGTATAATTAGGTGGACTGGATGATCGACTGGATAGGGAACTAAAACACACGCGCTTTTCACTGACACTATATTTACAACAATTTACACAATATTTACACTATTTACAATTACTACTACAAGATGACAAGAAGTCAGAGCTTGCTTAGATGCCCAACAGGGCAGAGCTAGATTATAAAATTTATTAAAATGTGAAAAGGTTTCTGGATGCTTGTTAACGTGGACAAGCTCCAAGCTACACTGCTGCAATGACAAAAATGGCGCGCAATATATTGACAGACATGACAAAATAGACATGACGACAACGCTGCAGTGTTGCAAACTTTATATGTATAAAAATATTTTGCCATCAAAAAGAGATAGCATGATTGTTGGAACATGTTTCCAACATGCTGGGGGGCCTAGAGTTTCACATGAAACCAAGGTAAAATTTTCCAGCAAAAAAAATAAAAAAATTAAAGAGAAAGTAAGCAACCCTTTTTTTAAAAAAAGGTATGATTTCAATGATGATCCAGTAAACGAAAACTTAACTAACAATTAAAGCTAAAAACATTTCTGGAACACATAGTATGACATTATGTATGTATATACGAGTATAGCTAATTGAATATAAATATAAATCTAAATGTTTTACAAATATATGTACAGAATTTTGTGAATAATTTTCAAAAATATTATTAACAATTATTGTCATCAATCGGTAACACTGCAATCTTGGTAACCGATCTGAGATAAATACCTTTTTTGGTTTTCACTTCGACAACCCTTACTTTGCCGTCCTTTCCAGGTATTGCTTTAACTATTCTTGCCATTGGCCACTTATAAGAAGGTACATTATCCTCTTTTAAAATGACTAACAAGCCCTCCCTAAGGTTAGGCATCTCATCACGCCATTTTGGCCTATTTTGGAGTTGCGTTAGATAGTCGTGATACCACTTTTTCCAAAAATGCTGCTGCATCTGGACACACAATTTCCAAAACTTAAGTCGACCTTGGGGAATTTCCGTCAAATCAGGGTCAGGAAAGCTTGTGATAGGCGCACCTATCAAAAAATGACCAGGGGTCAAATAGTCCAAATCTGAAGGATCTTGTGACAAGGCTACAAGTGGTCGGGAATTTAAAATTCCTTCTACTTGGACAATAAGAGTATTAAATTGTTCATAGGTAAGCTCATTGCTACCTATGAGTCGCTTGATGTGAAATTTTGCCGATTTTACTCCAGCTTCCCATAAACCACCAAAAACTGGAGAATAGCTCGGTATAAAATTAAATGTAATTTTTTCCTGAAGGGAATAATTTTCAATTTTTTCTGTTTCGTTATAAAACTCTTTGATTTTATTCTCGGCTCCTTTAAACGTGGAACCATTGTCGCAGAAAATATTTGCGGGCTTCCCCCTCCGCGAAATAAAACGCTTCAGAGCAGCTAGAAAATTTTCGGTTGTCAGGTCTGAAAGCAGTTCCATATGAATTGCTTTGACTGAAAAGCACACAAAAAGTGCTATGTATGCCTTGGAACTTACGGATTTTCTAATTCGAGATTGCTTAACGAGGAAGGGACCGCAAAAATCTACCCCAACATTTTGAAACACTCTGGCTGAACAGACTCTTTTTTCCGGCAAGGAACCCATTAATTGAGTGGAACATTTTGCTTTGAATTTAAAGCAAATCACACATTTGTGTAGCTCTTTTTTAATTAATCTTATTCCATTTATGAGCCAATAATTGAGGTTTAGGGAACCTAAAACTTGTCTTGGTCCAGCGTGCAACAAAGTTGAATGTTCTTGTATTATAATTAATTTGGTGATGTGACTTTCCTTGGGCAAGATCACAGGATGTTTCTGATTATATGGAATGTTTGAATTATGTAACCTTCCACCCACTCGCAATAATCCATTGCCATCTAGGAACGGCGACAAAGAGTTTAATGAGGATTTTAAAGGGGTATTGGAAAGTAAAGATTTAATGTCATTAGAAAAGTAAAAGTCTTGCTCACATTTTATGATTACTCTAAGACTGTGTTCCAGTTCTGAAAGCTTCAAACTTCCCTCAAGTTTTTCACCAGAATTTTTTCCAGAATTGTGAACAAATCTAAGTATACAGGGTGGTCCTTCGGGAATGACATCGATTGCTTATGGGAAAACTGTGAAAGGTAAAAATTTGAAAATTTGGCAACATAGCAATGTCGATGGGGGACATCCAGGTAAAATATTTTCAAGATGGCGGCATTTCCGGTCATACCGGAAGTTGATACCAACTCGGTTATTTTAAATAGAACACCCCATATATTAATGTATTTTTGGATTCTACATAAAATTCTGAGCAGATTTCATGTAATATACCCTATACCTAAGTTCAACTGTTTTGGAAATATTGACAGTTGAAAATTGACTTTTTGCAACTTTGACAGGCTGTAAAACCTGAACAATTAATTTTAGAGGAAACCCGATTTGACATTCCTATCTTAGATTTTTATAAACTATCATTTGACATCAACTTTGAATTAAATCCATGATTAAAAATTTCAGTTAAATTTAATCTCCGTTTAAGTTCAAAGTTGGTGTCAAATGATAGTTTATCAAAATCTAAGATAGGAATGTGAAATCGGTTTTCCTCTAAAATTAACCAATTAGGTTTTACAGCTTGTCAAAGTTGCAAAAAGTCAATTTTCAACTGTCAATATTTCCAAAACAGTTGAACTTAGGTATAGGGTATATTACATGAAATCTGCTCAGAATTTTATGTAGAATCCAAAAATACATTAATATATGGGGTGTTCTATTTAAAATAACCGAGTTGGTATCAACTTCCGGTATGACCGGAAATGCCGCCATCTTGAAAATATTTTACCTGGATGTCCCCCATCGACATTGCTATGTTGCCAAATTTTCAAATTTTTACCTTTCACAGTTTTCCCATAAGCAATCGATGTCATTCCCGGAGGACCACCCGGTATAGGCAAAAACTCTTTGAAGTCTTCTAAGGGATGAAAAATCTTCAAAAAATGAATTTGGCTTTACTTTGAGTAGGTGGAATTGAAACCGATTGAGCAATATTAGTTGCTAAATTACTAGTATTAGCTGGTCCTGGTAAATTAGATTTAGGTAAACAATTTTTAATACTTACAATGACATCATAAAAAAGAGTTTCTACATCATCAATTGAATCATCATAGTTACCATCAAGGCACAGAATTTCAACTTGAATGTCTTTAAGCTTTTGAAAACTGTCCTGCAATATTTCCTTCCGAACTAAAAATTGGTCGGTTTTATACTCACTGTCAGGATCAGATTTGTGATCGGAAATATAACGACTTATTCTAACCATGGAGTCGATTGCTTGCTTTTTCTTTGACAATAATTTATCAATTTGCTTTTTGGTAGCCATATTTACAAAGTTTACAATCAAAAAAATAAGAAAATATCAAAAGAAATCTATAAACAAAATTTAAAATTACCTAATAAATTAGATTTTTTTTTTTTTAAAAACTACTTAACAAAACGAAAAACGGATAATTGTTCATCCTTTAAATAAATAATGAAAAAATAGCAATAATTAATGCGAAAAATTCAGTTTTTCAAAAATAATGCAAATTCACTCAAATTCACTGCAAAAATCCAAAATACACAAACAACAAACAACAAAACGTAAACAAATGTTTGAAATTTAATTTGAGGTTAAGCTGTCGGGGTGGTGAACTCTCACTTTCATGTTCGTTGCTCCGGGGCTGTACTTCATTGCACCAAGCAAGGATACTGCACCCGGGGTGACTTGGGTTGAACCAGACGAGAAAAAGAAGCACCCTTTTGAATTTGACAAGTGAAGTTTGTTTGCTCCGCCCCACTCTACTTACGCACTTCCGGTTCCGGCGGAAACCTTCGCTGGTGGCACGTGGAACCCAACGTTGTTTGAGACACGTGCAGACTGCACAGTGGATGATTGATTTTTTGCATCACATGGCGCCAAAAATCACGATGGAACAATCAATAACCACTAAAAAGGCACTTTTTGAGGGTTTTTAAAGCACTTTTAGGTTCCGAACTATCCAGTATCCGGCTCGAACTGGCCAAAATTATGTGCAAAACCACATAATGGAAGATAAATAACTTGATAATTAGTGGACTGTATAATTAGGTGGACTGGATGATCGACTGGATAGGGAACTAAAACACACG